AATCGCTCGTTCGAAGCCGAGATTCATCTCAAGCCCGGGACATTGCCTATTAACAGCCGCCCATATCGCGTGCCGCTTCACCTGGAAGGCGAATTGAAAGCCACCATCGAATATATGCTTGAGCATGACATCATTGAGCCGTCATCCAGTGAGTTTGGCTTTCCCGTACTCTTCTCTCGACGCCCAAACGACCCTCGCTCCCCACTTGATCCCAAGAGTTATCGCTTTTGCTGTGATCTGCGCCGCTTGAACCAGGTCGTCTTGAATCAACCGAAAGTCTCTACTCCCACGGTCGACGAGATGCTCGAACGTCTCGCGGACATCGTTCGCCAAGGTCAGGCTGCTAGACGTCCTAACACGCAGCTCTGCGTCACTACCTTGGATTGTATCAAAAGCTTCTGGCAACTGCTAGTGCGCGCTTCCGACCGCAAGTACGTTGCGTTCGTCACCCCCATAGGTCGCTTTCAATACAAGCGCCTGCCATTCGGCTTTGTTACAGCCACCAGCATCTTTCAAGAATTTATTCAACAAGTCCTTCATGATCTTCCGGCTGCATTCGCATACATCGATGACATCGTGATCGGCACCTATTCGACATGGGAAGAACATGCTGATCATGTTCGAGCCGTCTTGGACCGTTGTCGTCAAAATCAACTTTTTCTCAAGAAATCTAAGGCTCAATTCTTTCGCACCAGTGTCGATTTCCTCGGTCATCATGTGTCTGCTGAAGGTGTGACCACGCAGACCGCCAAGACCGCTGCTATTTCCGCTTGGCCGACGCCTACTACAGCCAAGCATGTCAAAATGTTCCTCGGACTGGCGTCATATTATCGCAAATTTATCCGAAACTTTTCGATGATTGCTGCCCCGCTCACTGATCTCCTTCGTAAAGGCGTCGCTTTTTCTTGGACCATTGAGTGTCAACAGGCCTTTGATTCTCTCAAAGCCGCCTTGACCTCCCAGCCGATTCTTCATCACTTTGATCCAACTCTGCCCACGGAAGTACATTGCGACGCATCCAATGTCGGTATCGGAGGTGTTCTCTTACAACAGCCCGCTCAAGGATCCGCTCGCGTAGTCGGTTTCTACAGTCGCAAGCTCACGCCAACCGAACAGCGCTATCATGCCACTGAGCGCGAACTTCTTGCAATCAAGGATACTCTCTTGTTTTTTCGCTTTTATCTTCTTGGCATCGCGTTCAAAGTCTTTACTGATCATCAGGCTTTGACCTACTTCCAAACTCAGAAAGAGCTCAGCAGTCGTCTCATCCGCTGGCTCCAGACCCTCAGCGAGTTTGCTATCACCGAGTTTCGCTATGTGAAAGGCTCCGAAAACATCGTGCCTGATGCTCTCAGCCGCCAGGACGAAGTTCCTCTCCCTGCCCTTTCCACTGATGCTCCGCATCATGAGCAGCTCATCCGTCCTGAAGACGGATACTTGCTTGCGTTCACCGTGAGCACCCTCGAACCGCTTACCGAAGCTATTCGAGCCGCTTACCCTGCCTGCTCGTTCAGTCAGGACATCATTCGACGTCTGCAATCCAAGACAGTTGTTTCCCGGTATCATCTCGACGACGGCCTACTCTTCTACACAGATTCGTTACGTCGCGTGCGCCTCTGCATTCCTCAAGCTCTTCGGCGCGAAGTCTTGCAACGTGCTCACGATCTGCAGTCTCACCTTGGATTCTCGCGGACCTACTTACAACTCGCCGCGACCGTCTACTGGCCTCAACTCCGCAAGGACACCGAGCTGTACATCCTCTCGTGTACTCACTGTCTTCAAGGCAAGTCCTATCGCCCAAAGCAGATGGGCAACCCGCACTCCCACGCAGTGCCGGCCAACCGATTCGAAGTCGTGTCTCTCGACCTCCTCACTGGCCTACCTCGGACCTCAGATAAGAATGATTCTATTTTACTCTTCATTGATGAGTTCACAGGACGGGTGTACCTGACACCTTGTCGTAAAACCATTACCTCTGAGCAAGCCGCTCAGAAGTTCATCGAGACAGTGTTTCGTTCGCAAGGCCTTCCCAAGGTTCTCATCAGCGACAACGCTGCCATCTTTACCTCCAAGTTCTGGAATGCGCTTTTCAAGATGCTCAACGTTCACGTCAAGCATTCGTCGCCCTTCATGCCTCAAAGCAACGGCCGACCCGAGCGTATGAACTCAGTTGTGCTCGAAGCTCTTCGCATCTACTGCAATCAGTACCCTCGTGCCGACTGGGACAAGTATCTTCCCATCCTGGAGACCCATCTTAACGCCGCCGTGCGACGTCCTACTGGACTCAGCCCCTTCGAAGTGATGTTTGGCAAGCAGATCCGCACTCAGCTCACTCTTCCAGCTGCCGCTGATCATCAGGAGGAAACGTTAGATTCCATCATCGAAGCCTCTGAAGTCAGCGCTCAAGCCGCTCGTGACGCCCTGGAACAAGCTGCTCGTGCCACCGAGGATCGCCTAGCTCTTGCTCGTCGACCCTGCAGTTACCAAGTTGGTGACATGGTCTGGCTCTCCACTGCCAACCTCAACCTTCCCGACGCTTCTGCCAAGCTCAACCCTCGCTTCGTCGGCCCTTTTCGCATCCTGGAGTTTGTCTCGGACAACACTGTGCGTCTCGAAGTCTCATCGCGCTTTGCTTCCATCAGGAACACCGTGATCAACATCAAGTGGCTTCGACCTCACGTCGACAGAGATCCTGCTTACATGTCGCCAGACCTACCGCCTGACCCGCTCGTCACTCGCGACGGCCTCGAATATGAAATCGAGAGCATTCTCAGCAAACGTCGTCGTGGCCGTGGCACTCAATATCTCGTCAAATGGACTGGTTACAATCAAGCTAGCGAAAGCACTTGGTTGCCTGCGCATCTTCTGCAACGCAAGACAGGATTGCGTGAATTGATTCGTCAATTCGAAGCCCGTCAGGACTTTCAAGCTCTCCCCACCTCCGCGCTTCCGCCGTCGGACTCTTCTGATTCAGACAATTGATCCTCGTCGTCGATCCTCATGTGACAGCGAAGGACAAGATGGAACTATGTTGTCAAGCGCAGATGGGAGCGATGTTGTATCCGTGAGGATCCGGACGTCTCGGATACTCGTACGGGTACTTAGTATCCGCCCTGACATCTAAATACGGCCTCCCTTTGACGCGCATGCGCTACCGTGCGCAGTGCGAGTGTGCAGTTTACCTTAAGTAAACGTAGTCTACCTTTGTTCTCTTGCTCTCAAGTTATCTCCTAACTTCTACTTAGCCTCGTTCTGAACCTCTGTGTTGTGTAATGGTATCCACTACGAGCATGCTGTCATGCCATTTGTCTCTGGTCGTTTTGTCTTTCAAACCACCTGCAAACAATGGATCTTGATTCAAAGCTTCAGTAGCATCACAATACAAGTGCTTTTTGTCCCTGCAGTTTCCAAAAAGCTTCTTTGCTGGAATGCCCATCATCGCAGTGACAATCATTACACGACGTCTAAAGCCATCCTGACCAGGTTGACCTTTGAAGCTCATATGACCAGACATATTCACTTGTGCCTCAGCATGTGCAGCACACGTTGCAAGCTGTGCCTCGGATGTTCCGGTGGCATCAGTGGGTGTACGGTTTGACACCTACTGTTTGCTATGAACATCTGACTCCGACCCCGCCACATCCCTCTCGCTCCTGCTCTTGCTTTCAACGCAGCTGTTTGCTCCCTTGCCTTCTGCCCTCTATCTCCCTTCCTCCCTCCCTCCCTCCCTCGAAACTGCGACATTATCTAGTTTACTCCTCCTCCTCCTCCTCCTTCCCAAGCCGTTGCTGCATATGTTGGGCTCGTTGGGATCCGCAAGCCCTGTATCGATGTCGTACCAATGCCCTCGGGAGATGCCTCCCCATAACTGAATCCGCAAGATACCAAATGTGACAGATTATGAACGAGATCTCCTCTAAGACATTTGCAAGCTATGGGTATACAGCCGATAAGGAGCTGTACCAGCATCCTCAGTTCCTTAAATCGACCGATCGCTCTCAACGCGCGCAATTCGACTGCAGAAGACGGAAACTCCTCAAATCACAGACTGC